CCACCCTTATTGCTGGGAAAAGGTCCACTCTGGGTAAAATTTGATCTATGTACTTTTGGATTTTACGTTAAAAGGTCCACTTTTTCAGAAAACGACCCCCCCCCCCTCTGAGATTGCTGGCTACGGGCCTGGAATTTTTTGCTTACGGGGCATAATGAACTGTTAATGAATTAATTTTCGGTGGATGTTTTCTATCTCAAAACAAATAAATTTGACTTTTAATGGTCTTCTTTAAAAATCTCTTGATCTGATTTTGATTTGACGATGAGGTTGGTCCCGGGGTGTAGAAGAGACGAACTTTCTTTCATTTTCAGGCCTTCTAAATCCATGTCGTCTGCCTGCCATTTCATTTGTCCTGTCTCTCTGTCGCCAAGAAAACATCTGGCTGTCTGGTCGCGAGTCGATTTCAGGAAGGAGACCAAATCTGAAAACAAGTAGGTTCCAAATAGCTATGTTACTGTATTCAACCAAGATCCTCTGTCGTCAATATCAAATGCCTTCATGAAAAAGTGTAAAAAGAATGGGGAAGAAAATACTAAAGACATTGCACCAGCCCAGCCGTTTTTTTTTCTCTAGTTCAAAGAATACATGAATGATAATATCTGTCATCTTGTATGAAGTATTACTCTGTTTATTATTTGTTCAGCATGAGCGTTGTTTACGTTTCCATTCAATTTACTTACATGTCCCGCCTGCCCCTTGGGCGTCCGTATTATTACTAGACTTTCCATTTTTCTTGTACGACTGCAGTAAAACATATCTACAAATGTGATAAAGTGATACGTTACAATAACTGTTATAATTATAATTAATTATGTATACATAACATAGCTGACGAAACCCTTTGCTAAATGGGGCAAAGCTTTTGAATCATATTGAGAATTCCCCTTCTTTTTTTATCTAAAGTCAGTTTAAAAGTGGATTTGTTTCAATTTTCAACTGTGTACGTTGTTAAGTCGAGATCAAGTTATTGATTCGAATCTTATATTGTGAATCACTTTTAAGGAATATCAGAGAATGAAGAATGTGACCACTCCTATCTGGCCGCTGTTTTCGCTAACTACCCTCACGATTTTTTCATCAATGAAAATGATTCAGACTGACTTCCACGTGATCTTATTTGACTTTACAATAAATGAAACGGTTGGTTTTAAATATTTAATATTCAAGTAAGGCCTGATACCTACTTAACAGTAACCGTAAAGTGGTATGATCGAAACTCGGTAAGTGCTTGGATGCATTTGTTGTATGCTTTCCGTACACCATCGTCGCGAGATAGTCTCACTAAAAGGAGCAATAATCAAATATTTATCGAACCATATATTTAACTCCAATTTTATTTACAATGAGGAATAACGTCGCAGAACAAACACAGAATCAATTGCAACAGCAAAAAAAAAAAAAAAAAAAAAGGCGGTAGAATGGAGGTGGATTGGGCATGTAAGCAGGATGGAGAAAACAGCAATTCCAACAGAAGCATTCAGATGGGCACCGGGGGGAATAAAAAAAAACACAGAGGAAGATCGAAAGAAACATGGACCCCATTCCCATAGATTTTAAATCGATCTATCCCTGTGGGGAGTGTCACTAGATTACTGTCAGCTTAGCCGGCTTAAGCGTCTGTCCCGCTTACTAAAAGCTGTAAGGAGGTCATTAACTATGGTGCGCGCTCGGCTGACTGCAATTTAGCGTGAACCCCCAGGGAGTTAGGTCGATCTAAATCTTAATCTCTGGATCGATCTAAGGCTTCGTTCACATGGAAAGTCTATTTTTCTAAAAATCTATTTTCTATTTTATGATCACGGTCTGTGCCCTGAATATCCCGCGGGGTAATTACTGGCAGCGCGAGCCAGTTACTTATACAAAGCTGTAATTAATTATCGGCTGTGTTCGCATTCTATAAAATCTCATCCTCTGTTGCCGCATCGATCGCCATCGGATCATGACGGTTGCACTCATATCTGTCGTGTGTATAGCTTCTTCATCTTCTTCGTCTTGTTGTTGCACAAAATCGACAAACACATTTTTCAAAGCAACCGCGACCGCCATTAATTTTCTAACTTCCTACTGCGCATGCGTCAAGGTAGCAGAATTTTCTCCGAGCACAGCCGAGAATTAATTACAGCTTTGGAAGTAACTGGCTCGCGCTGCCAGCAATTACGCCGCTGGATATTCAGGGCACAGTCCGTGATCACAAGATATACCGCGAATAGAAAATAGATTTTTAGGAAATAGCGCCCATGTGAACGAAGCCTAAATCTCTGGGAATGCACCCATGGAAACGATGCGTTGAGAAGATGAAACAACAAGGATGGACGTGGGGACAGCTTGAGGGTTTATGTTGCAGACAGACAACACTGGCAAGCTCTGGTGGATACCTTATGTGCCACATCGACCAGCTTACAAGCTAGCTGGCCAATAATGACACGTGTTAATTTAAGGTTTATTCCACCCACCGTGATTTCTGAGAGAAGGTCCGTTTTCTATGGCGTTCAGAAACTCTCTGTGACCTGCAGGCATATATTCTCTTATTTTTCTGAGATATGGAACTGCTTCTAGATTGAAAAAGTCATTAAAGGGTTACAAATTTCAAAACTGCAGATTTATACTCTCTCCCTCTTTACCTAATAATGCCAGTTGGCAAGCAAATTTATTAATATCAATTCAAACAAAAAAATGCTGACCTCATTTTATCGATAGGTTTTTTTGTATCGTTTATTGCCCTCCCTTATTTGCGTATTTCGAATAGTCATGCACATAACTTTAACCAAAATTTAAAAACTTCAAAAAAATCTTTATCTTAAGTGGACGTTATAAAGTTTGTTTTTCATAATTTAATTCGCACGTGCTCATTAGCTGATACAGTATACAGTCTGTCCGCAGATCTTGCATATCAATGCGTAAGCGGTGATCATTACAAAAACACTTANAACTGATCTCAACCTAGCAGCCTCAGCACAGGTCAGTGCAACTATGATATTGCCATACCGATGATTCTGTTCAATCGCAATGTGACCATTGCCACTATATGCTGTACCTACAGTCTGTCCGCAGATCAGGCATATCAATGCGTAAACGGTGATCATTACAAAAACACCTACGCGCTTGCACAAAATAGTCCGCGACGTGTGTTTCGCGCCATGTTTTCCAAAATCCGAAGTTGTTATATAAATCCATGAAGCTCTGTGAATAACTCATTATTCAGCTTGAAACTTTCAAAAAATAATATTTAGAACTTGATGTAAACGCACAATGTAAAATGAACATTTCAATTTCCACGAAAGCCTTGTATCAGTTGTCTACAAAGAGCACACGCATTTTTCTCAAGCGGATCGTGTAATTTTGTACCCTAAAATGAAATGATTGTAGAAAAAATGGACAAACTTACTTTATTGATATTATAACGATTTATGCAACTATATATGCTGGAATTGAACCAAAAAGAATGAAAAATTTGTACAACCGTCCTTTTTTGTGAAATCCCTATTTTAGTTCGAAGTATGTAGGTCAGTCGAAACTGGGACTGTCACGTTGCACTGAGGAAGTGACTCGAAAGCGATTTTCTCGGCAAATCTTGCATTTCGGTTTAAAAAATTGAATGTTCAGCTTCTCAAGTGTATATTTATAGTATACAGTGTGTCATTGTCATAGTGAGAGTTGTTATGGAAAATAATACGTGAAAAAAACGCCATCGGTGCTGCAGATCGACCATATCGCTGCCATAACATGGTTTTAGAATGGAAAAAATCTGCCGTTTGCCTTTCAAGTTACATAGCTTTGGGTTTGCAGACTTAAAGGTGAGTTTTTTTTTTTTTTTTTTTTTTTTTTTTGCATTCACTAAGTTTCATATAAGCGCCGAAATGTATAGAAATGATTTTGGAGTAACCTCCCTTCGCATAGTTTAGATGCACTTGTTGACGTTCAGTACCAGTGAAATGTTATATTTTGTTGCAAAGTTATAGTTTTACTTTGTTTACATACAATGTGTAGGCCTACTAGCATACCTTTATCCGTTCTATTTCCTTTACATACATGTATGATTTTATCATTATATTGTATTTATTTTTAACAGATTCCCGAATTTCATATCAGCTGACAATAAGGGAAGAGGTGTTCTAGTCAAGACCAGGGAAAATTTATTTCCATACGATTGTGTGTGATGGTGCTGTTGATGCAGGTGTGACTGAACAAGAGATGGTGTTTTGTAGATTCTTGGATACTGTTTACCCTAGAAACCTTTCTCATAGCAGACAAATTCTGGAACAATACTTTCTTCAAGTATTAAACAGGATGGGCTTTGACCCACAAGACTTCCACTGAGAGTGGCCTGCATTTAAAGAGCACATAGATAGGTGGCATGTTTATGGTGAATAAAAGTAAAGATATGTGTATGGATTTGTTTCAAGGCTAGGAGACCAGACAAAGATTAGAATACATACAATAATGCTAATTGAAATTGCCTTGTTCACCCTGTCCACTTCACAGGTGGAGAGAGGATACAGTGCTCTCTAAAGAATCAAATCTGACTGGAGGTCAAGTTTGGGGATTATTATGCTTAAGTTAACCAAATTTTGACAGCAGTTTTATAGGGGCCAAGTTTTGATGATCATTTAGTCAAGGAATCTATCAACCACTGGGTGGCAGGGTGACACTCTGGGAAAACGGCCCAATTTTGAACTTGAAAATTGATTTAGTTTTCTGATTGTCATATCCAGCAGGTAAATGACCTGGCCATTGAAGGTTCTAAGGAAATAAAAACAAATTGAAACATACTCTATACTGAAGTTTAATTTTTTTTTTTTAATTTTTAATGCATTTTACTTTGTTATGTATTTAATTTCAAATTATATTCAAGAATTTTCAACCGGGGATGATCTTAATTGTATGTCAGTTTTGGCAAAGGTAATATTCATAACTTGCTGGGGCAGGTGCTTCTCCTGCCTTCAGAATAGACAGATCAAGTTGGCCAACGAGTTCATTGGAACTTTGTTATCTGCTTTAATTTTAAAGGCAAAAAGTTTCCAAAAAACTTTTAACAAGGTCAGTGCATATTCATGAGGCTGAATGAACATTTCCCAGGAACAGTGCTTTAAGGACATGAATTTAAATGTTTACTTAGTTTTGTTTATCACAAAGATTTCAATATTTTGCATTTTTAAAAACAGAAATGTAAATTTTAAATAGATTAGGGATATTTTTTAAAATTATAATTGGAAGGGTCTAATTTTAAATAGTTTAATATGTAAGAGACAAAAATAGTACTAGTAAATAGAAATAAATCTTGATCAGTAAAATAAGAGAACAAGGCAGAAGTGCAGATCTTAATATAATGATTAAACCGGTGTTGAATGATTTTTTATCAAAACCCTTTCAGGCTTTAAAAAGTACAACCTGGTCATAGGCCAGTACTTCTTTGTAAATATTTATTCAATTAAAAAATCTTGTTTTATTTATAACTAGATCTAGCAATATCTTTCTATATTGGTCAAAATTCACACTGGATTTCTTGTGGATTGGATCATAAATATTATACCATTTTTGATGTTTTAAGAATGAAGTATATAACTCTTGGAATATTCTGGCAGTATATATATTTTATATATTTTTTATATATATATTATATATATATATATTTTTTTATATAAATAGAATATTTAAGAAAACTTGTAGTTTTGCTAAGTCGGGCCAGTGCTTCAGGTTGGTCACGTGACGCTATAAATTATGATGAAAATGGGGTTCCATTTTTGTCGTCGTTTTGGAGATGCTATATTTCCCCACACAAAATGGGTAAAAATTGTAGGAGACATACCTTATGATATATCATTTAAAAGTTTATGATTTCGTCTTTCTGAAGAATATAAATGTTTGATAATATTTCGCGTTTCCTGCGATACATAGTCACAGTAACCTACTGCACTTGAAAAAATCGGTTTTGCCAACTTTTACACCGACTTCATGGGATTATCAACACTTTGCCAACCAGATGGGAGCCGAACGCAACATATATTTTATATCAACACGAAGCCCACTTGTTTAGCTTTTAGAATTTATATAAAACGCTGGTGATATAAACATTATAGCAATTTTGTTATAATTTAAACGCCCCAATGTTATACGCTTCAAAAATGCGAGTGTTTGGCGTCGCGTTCACCTCGCGCTTAAAAAAATGGACAAAGCTGAATTCACAAAATATATATACCGTCAGAAGGCGAGTTTAACCGGCTTTCATGATTTAGTTTTTAAAAATTTGTACAATTTAAACTTCTTATAGAAATCTTTACATAGAAAATTTCGGACACCTGAAACGGGACACCATTTGCAATCACCCGCGTGGATAAATCTTCCATTTTACCGTTCTGAATCTATGTTTTATGACAACTAACCTTAAAATAGCGAATCCCTAGATATTCCCGCTTCTTTTTATATATCTATCGTTTAATCACATCAACTGTTGACAAAAATACACATGAAAATACGAAGAGCTCAAAAGTCGTCCATTTTCACTCGATTTTGCTGAAAGTAGTGCGAAAATGGCCGTCGCTTCAGACAGTGTGCACGCGCAGCTCGAAATCTGCGGACAGACTGCTAANAGTGGTGGAGGAAAAGGCGGTCCCGGCTCTACTGATGCAAGCTGATCGACCAGAGACTTGGAGTCCTCCGGCAGCGAACACGAGAATTGCGGTACAGAAAAAACTGTTGGTCTCAGAAATTGAAGGTACGTGTAAGACGCCGCAAAAAAACCTGAGAAAATACCAACTTTGTTCACGGGCACGCCGTGTTTTACTTGTACGTTCGCGCCAAAAACTATTGAAACTAAATCAGAAGGCGAAAGTAAACAAAAAACTGACATTTCGTTGTCTAGCAGTGAATCGTCCGACGAAGACGAAAATCTACTTGATATTAAATATAAAAAAACTGGTGTTCACAAATGCAGTCTGATAAATCAAGTTATTCAACAACAGTCACCGTCAGTTTTTCTCAAAGAAGCGACACCGTTGCGAACATTTGCATCAGCCAAACTTACAACAGATTCGAGGGTAACGGACGACAGTCGATCTCAAATCGCCCAGAATCCCCTATCGTCATCAGTGACGACGACGACGACGACGACGACACAAGCCGTGCTAGCTCCCCAATCGTCATCGACCTCACTGAGGACGACACCGAATACATTAAGGCAAGATCCCCAGAAAGCATCGTGGGTAGCGACGAACAGTGTACTAACAGTCCAAAAAACTAATAAAAAAACTAACATGGCCTCAGATTTAGGGTTAGCCCCTGAAAAATTCAAGGGTACCAGAGATGAAGACGTAGAAAGATGGTTAACCCATTTTAAGAACTATGTTAGTTATAAAGAACTGACCGAAGAACAAATAACGTCAATATTCCCTCTATTGCTTAAGCAATCGGCCATAGACTGGTATGAGTCGTTACCAGCGACAGTGAAAAAGAACTGGGAATTGCTCGTCCGCGAATTCCGTGCTCGATACCAACTACGAGACGGAGAAACGTGGGCGAGAG